TGTAGACAACGGCATCTTCTGACCACCGCTGTTGTCTGGGCTAGAATGACAGTGAGAGAGCAGACTGCCATGGGAAAGAGGAGGGCCATCTCCAGCAGGCCTCTGCTGGGATGTGGAAGCTTGGCAGGTACTCCTCCATGCCTAGCTTTGATGCAGGCATCGCAACATGCGCTCTCTGCCTGTGTGTAAATCCAACACTTAAAAATGCAACCCTTCTCACCCCACAGGGAGATTGGAAGTTACGATCCCTGCAACCAGAGAGTGGAATTTAACTTCTTTTTCCCTTGATACACCCCTGATTTGGGGCTCCAGACTTAGTTGTCCTCTAACACTTCCTCTGCTACTAAAACATGGGATTGGCTTCTGCGGATAATGGAAACTGGGCCTCCCAGGGATCCTCTGGCAGTTTATATAGCTGTGAATTGAAACGACTTCCAAGTTGCTTGGTGGTCATTGCCTGAACCAAAGTGGGGGCTTGTCTTGTGACCTCTTTGTCACACCAGTCCTATATAGCAGAGCGGGGGAACCCTTCCCCTGTCTATAAAATCCTTGATAAATTGGTATCATAGTAATCATAGGAAACAAATGCTCCAGTTCCTTCAGCAGGAGTGGTCTACAGTTGCATGAAGCATCATTAGGTGCAAGATGGAGCACATCTCACCTAATGTCCAGAGAAATTTGCTACTTCTATGACTTGCATCATCCTCTTAAGCACGGCTGCCTAGAAAAGTAAATCTGTGGAAGTTGCACAGGGATCCCTCCCAGATAAATGGCAGCCTTAAGAAAAGAACAGGAAAGGTTAAGTTGAAAGACTTTAAAGTTGTGCAGAGTCAGAGAAACCTCCGATCTTGAGCCAGGGAGGGAGCATCAGGAGCAGGTGATGCTGGCTGCCAACAGGTTGCCAGAGCCTGATTTTGACATTCTCCCAGGTGGAGGAGGAGTTTGAGTTTAAATAGGCAATTGCTTCTGGGTAAACTGAGGGGGGGCACCGGTGGTTCCATGGGATGCTTAGGAGCACAAGGCTGCAGTAGGGTTAGACCCTGGACTTAGGGCACAATCCTGTACAGGGCAAAACATGCAGCTCCCTGGTTCATTTTTATTGAGTGTTAATGTGTAGAGGCTGACACTTTCATGGTCTTGCAGGGGTGTGCGTGGGCCATGCTCACAACTCATTCCTCCCCCAAACTGCTTTAAAACAGCTGTGGCATTCCCAAGCCCTCCACACAGCAGCCAGGCCATTTCCCAGCCCTGGTTAAGAAACAAGCAGCCTCTGAGCATGTGCAGTGTTTCATTTTGCACTCGCTGAACCCCTGGTGCTGTTACAGCGGTGGGCATCCAGTGGCTGGCCTTTCTGCACCTGTTGTGCTCCAGGTGCTCCTGTGGAGAGGCAGGCATGCGGGGGGGGGGGGTGAAGCTTTGGCCCCAGCTGCACCCCACTCCCCACTGCGGGATGGCCGAGGCCGGGTGCCCGGTGGGGTCCAACCCAGGGAGGCCGATCCAGACAGACCGTGCCCTTGCGCAGATTTGGCTGAGCTGGGCACCGAGTGCCGGTGGGCAGCAGGCATCTTCCAGGATGTAGGCCCTGGCCTTGGCGCTGTCCAAAGGGGTAGGCTATGGGGGAGGGAGGGGGCAGGCGGGCGCGGAGCTTTATGCAGGCACCCTGAAGTGCGAAGCGGTGCTGGCAGCTGTTCGAGGGGGGGAGGAGGCCCAGGACTGCCCCCTGAGTCGCCTTTTCCTGCAGCCCAGAAGCCCAGCTCTCCCCGCCCCCCGCCTCAGTGTCCTGGGCGCACGGTGGGGTCTTCTGGACCCGGACATTGACGCTCTGCGACAGGCTGAGTCCGGCGCTGTCTCCGCCTCGCTCTTGCTGACCGCTCCTTCAGAAGCGATTTCTCTTTTGCTGTGCGAGGTTGACTCCCAGGGAGGCGAGTTTAGGCCCTTTATTTGCGGGGCAGCGGCGTAGCCTTTAGCTGGGGGGGGCTTATTCTGCTTAGGATTCCCTCTTTCAAAAGTTAGTGAACCGCAGCACCTGCTCATTCTGCAGTCCTCGGACTCTTCCCCAAAGTCCTACCCTCGGGTGGTCAAAATTTACTCGGGGGTGCGGGCGGAGAAGGATTTATTTGCACTGCCGCGTAACAAGAGTATCTTTTTTTCTTTTTTAACAATTAGATACTTTTTAAAGTACCCGAGAAAACGGGGCCCGTGTCAAAGAAATGCGCACCTAAAAGGACACCCCCACCCTTCCCAAGCATGTTTGGGAAAGTCATTCTTCGCCTAGGCAGAGCGTCGGAGAACAAAGATCTTTCAGTGGGGTGGAGGGGGCGAAGGGAAGCGACCCACCCCGTACTCTTTCGTGGGTCCACTCCGAATTAAATCACAAGGGTAATCGGGGAAGCTCGCCCTTCTTCGGGGCGGGAACGTCGGCTTGCTGCCTCATTTCCTTCCCCCGCAGCGGGGCCTGGAGCTGCGATTTGCCCGGCTCCAGTTTGCCCCTGCGCGGCGAGGCGAGGCGAGTCCGAAGCGCCGTTCAGCGCAAGGGCGCCGGCGGCGCGGTGGAGGATCGGTCTCTGCGCCAACGAAATCGGCTTCGGGCAGGTCAAGGAAACGGTCGTTTCGCCCCCGCAAAACACTCTGGGGAACCAGCTGCAAGGTCGTGTGGGAAAGAAAGATCTTGCGGGCCGATCCCCGTCTGCCTACCTGGCGTGCAGGGGAAGCTCTCCTGCGTAAGCCCAGGGGAAGCGCCCGGTCCCCGCCGTTGTTCCCATTCATTCCATCCAGCGGGTCGGGCCCGGCCCGGCCCGGCCTCCCTCCACCATGGCTGAAATCGCCAAGTCTCTTAGCATTAGATTTTAATAACGGTAACAATACAACCCTCAAGAATGCAAAATACCTCAATTCGAATACAAAGCCAGAACCTTGGATTTGTTCTATGGGGAGAACGCTTCGTTCCGAGATGCAAATTATAAGCAGCATATAAAGGGCTAAGCACTTCTTAGGTCGTGTCATGACAGATCTGTCATGAATATGGACAGAAAAATTTAGAATCCCCCTTTCCTTTCCCAGCCCACCCCACCCCTTCTCCTAGATTTGTGGAAAGGCCCGACCGCCTGTCTTTCTAAAGCCTATTCACCCAGCACTTTAAACCTGATTTTCGGTGAAGTTCAATGTTTGTTTCTTAATAACGCGCTCGCGCACGCAATTCTTCCCCCACCGCCGTCCCCGCATCTAAATACCGGTGCCAAAATAGCAAAGGGGGTACGTGTGTGACCGTGGAGCGTTAGTACTGCGATAGGCACAGCTAAAAGTTTGTACAAAAAATAAGCTAAACTTAATCTGGGTTAGAAAGGACATGCTATATCCTTAAAAAGAGAGCGAGCGGGGAGTTTCAATGGAGATTTGTGCGCATTAAGAAGGCAAGCCGGGCTCTGTCGCTTTAACCGGAAAGATCTGATTCCCTCATCTGGCAGATGGCCCCCGAGTCCAGATTTGCATTCATTGTCTTGAAATCTGTGTTCGCTTTGGTGCTATATGGATTTCAGGGGCAGATCTATACCTCCGATCGCAGCACAAAAGGAAGCGTGGGGGGTGGGCGCGGGAGAGAAATGACACCAACCCGGCTTAATCTATACGAAGATGTGCGCTATTCTTCCCGGCTAAAGAGGAGTGTGGGCGGACGGAGGGCCCGTCTCGCTTTTGTCTGTTTCTCTCGTGCGTACACGCGTGCGTTCACATCCGCACGAAGTGCGCATTTCACAAGGTGATACAGGCAGTGATGCCCAACGGCGGCGGATCAGCATCCTATTAAATTAAACCTTCCATGCTCAAGGCAGCCCATGCTCTCCTGTTTCTCTAGACCGACAGGCAGAGCACTGAAAAGCAAGAGAAATGCCAAGTCGCTTGGAACAAGGTCTTTCTCAGAAGCCAGGCCGCTGTTTCCAGGGGTACCTACCCTCAAGGCTGCGCCGTCTCTTCCCACCCTCTTTTAAAATTCCCTCCTTTTCCCTTCCGAACGGAAAAGTATAAAGCACAACGTTTTATTTGATTTATTTTTCCGACAGGGAAAACGAAGTCGATGGAGCGGGGCGCGGAGGCGAGAGGGCGAATGACGGTTGGATGGAGCACCACACGTAGGCTGCGGCCGCGGCTGCCCCGGTCCTCCTCCCTGCGTTAGATCCGTTCTAGGTTAACAAGCCGAATACAAAAGTATCGGGTAAGTAACTTCTTCGCCACCCGGAGGAGCGTCCAGGCCCCGCCCCCGCCCCGCCCCGCCCCCTGCCTTTGATCCACGCGCTGTTGTGGCCCGGGGAGGCCGCTCGCGTGTGTCCGTGTGTTGAACGAGTCTCCCCTTCTGCTCCAATGGGAAGAGGCTATGCAAATAGCCGCGCCTTATTTGGAGGCGGGCCCCTCCCCTTTTCCTAGGACGTTCTCTCTCGCCGCTGTAACCCATTCATGGTGCGCCGTGCAGGGAAAACCGGCCGCGCTTCCCCGGCTCAGTTGAAGGGGCGGACGGGCGGGGGGGCCCGGGCAGGCTCCCTGCACCGCTTCGGTCCCTTTCTTTCCCCGCCGATCCGGCGTGTCGCGCGCTCGCCCCGCTCGCTTCCTTCTCCCCCTCCGCCCTCCCCCCTCCCTCCCTCCGCCCTCCCCCTCCTCGTGGCTCCGGCAGCCGTCAATCCGGCCCTCGTGTCTCCGCAAAGCAGGTGATCCGTCCGGCTCGTCCGAGACCCGGCGCGGGGATGCGTTTTTTCTCGCTGGCGGCGCTGTTTAGAAAGATGATCCGCCTCGTCGGTAGAGGCTGAGCAGCGCAGCATCTTCGATTTGGAAGAAGGGCGAGCGGGGTGGGAGAAGACGAGCATACACCCCACCCGGCCGTCTTTTCCTTTCTGCTAAAGGCTTTCCAAAACAAACCAGCCCAGGACTTCCTTCAAGGCGGAAACCGAGGCGAGTTGAAACCAAACTTTTGAGGCGTCGTGCGTGCCTCCCGTGCTTGAAGTTTTCTGCACTTCGTTCCGAAGAGGACGGGTTTGCTTTGGGCTCTCGTGTTTTTGGAATAAACTTCTTAAATGTTTGGGATCCAAGATACTTTAGGAAGAGGACCCATCTTGAAAGACAAGGTGCTCGGATCGGAGATGGACCCTGTCCGGTCCTGGGTCAGGAATGTTGGCGTGGTGGATGCCAATGTAGCGGCTCAAAGGTAATTTGACCAGAGCTTGGGTAGGGGGTTGCCGGGGTCATTTAATTCCTCTCCTCGCCCTGCGGGTCCGTATGCTCACTTAGCATTCTCTTGCGATGCTGAGATCCCGGGTTAATTACTTAGTCCGAGAGCGATCCTAGGCATGCCTACTCGGAAGGAATCGCCCTGCGTTCAGGTAAGTGTGCACAGCATTGCAGAGTTACGTACTTACTGCGTGCAGCCATGATCCCAGACCAGCTGGGAGAGGTTTGGCAGCCGCTGCCCTTCCTTTCTATGCGATAAAGTTGCCCTGGGAAGAGTTGGCGTTGGTAGCAAGAAGGTCGGCGCGTTTTTTCCGGCTCCAACGGTAAAATCCTTCTCATGTCTTTCTAGAGTAAATCTCATGGGCTTTATTGGCGCTTACTCCCGAGGAAGCATGTCGAGGGTTGCCACGACGGGCTGTTTGCATGCTTACCCGAGAGTAAGCGTTTTTGAACCCAGTGGGACTTACCTCTGAGCAGACATGTCTGGGGTTGCTCTCAGATCCCGGCATTTAAACAACCGACGCGGGTTGTTTGCTTTTTTCTCTGCTTTTTTCCTCTGCGATTCACACCTCGCGTCTCTTAAGATGCAGTCTTAACACGTGCTGTCTAGGAACAAACCCTCCCGAACGCAGGCGGACTGAGCTCCCGGTAATCCGGCGGGGGCTTTAAACTGCCCGGCCCTTTTCCTTGCCAACGGGGCTTTATTTTCAGTATAAACGTCTTCGTGATGGACGGGATGCGCCCCCTTCGGATTAGCATCCGGAGCATCTTTCTTGAAACGCTGGCAAACCGGAGCTCCAGACAAGCAGGTTAAATCGTTTAAAAACAAAACAGCTGTGCCTTCATACTTTTTAGAGCTTCGCTTGGAAACACTTCGCTTGCGAGCCAGTTCGATTCCTAGAATTGGTTTGGGATTCCCCCGCCTCCCAGCAAACTGACAAATCTCATAAAAACCTCATCCACAAAGCAAGTGAACGGAAGCGGCCACTCTCGGCCTGCCGTTGCCGCCTCCTAGAGAGTTAGTCGGACGGATTTACTCCTGAGTAAAGAGACTTGCGATCAGGCTACTAGGCCGGCGCGGCAAAACGCACTGACTCGTCAGCAAGTGACTTTTGGACCGGTGGATCTGTGATCACGGCCGTGTGAGGGGTGGAGCCGATCCACGCTGGCTGGAAAGTAAACCCCGCGGAAAATAACCCTCAGTTGCAGGACGATCCGCCGCCTTCCTGAGCCGAGCTGGCGAGCCGCAAAGACAGGAGGGACGGGGCATCCCCGGGGCTAAGCTGCAAGTCACGCAACCACCCGCGGGGCGCGGCTGAGGGACCCAAACGCGGTGCGGCCGGGAAGAAAGTTCTCCCGAAATCAGGACGCGGCTTCGGGAAAAAGGTCTTGTTTCGTGCGTGACGGTGGGCTCGGCTGCGCAGCCGGCGGCGGGCCGAGCGGGAGAGGCACGAACGAGGCTTGCCGAGCCCGGGGCGGCGGGGCGCGCGTCGGCTCGCCCGCTGCCACCGCGCGATCGGCCGCCGGCCGCCTTCGGGTCCGGGTCCGGGGTCTTCCGCGGCCCCTCCCCGGCTCCCGCCTCAGCTTGCCGGGGCCTCCCAGCAAGAGTGGGGGGCCTGGAGGGGTGCGGCTTCTTTCCTCAAGGCAGCGGCTCCCCGCCAGGTCCCGGCCCGGATCTCGGCGGTCGGAGAGGACCCGAAGCGACCGTTTGCCTCGCGCGAGGATCCGCTGTGCGAGGGAGGCGGCAGAAGGCGAGCCCGCGCCCGGAGCCTCGGAGCGTCTGCCCGGACGCCCCTTTCCGCGGCGCAGCCGGCGAAGCAGGGCAGCGCCTGGGTTCCGGGGCGCGCGTCCTCCCGCGCCCGCGACTTTCTCTTTTCTGGGCGGCTCTGCGGCGAGATCGACCGAGCTCTCCCGTCCGGTGGCTGCGGGGATCAAGCTGGGCTCGCCCGTGGGGTGGGGGAAACGGGGTCCGGATGATGTCCGGGCACCAGACGAGCGCCGTTCCGCGAGCGCCACTTCGCTGCGGTGGACGCGCACTGGGCTGCGGATGCGGGTGGCCGGCCGGCCGGCCGCTCTTCCACCCCGAGCGAGAACGCACCGGCCTCCCTTTCGCTGGATCGAGCGGAAAGCCCTTGCAGATGGGCAGGCGATCTGTTGATCTGCCTGGGAAAGTTTGCGTCTCTAGGCCACGCACAGGATGTTCCGGCCCGGAGAGGGCCAGAATCTGGCCAAAGGGCAGGCGCAAGCATTAGCTCTGTCCTTCAGGAGTGCGAAAATAAACACCCGCGGGCTCTGTAGGATTGTCGCTCCCTCCGCCTGTGAAGAAAGCAGTAGGATCGGCTTTCGCCGGGGGATGCTTTCCTCCTCCTAATTGTTCTAACAGGTCTTCTTTACCTGGAGGTGTAAAAGCAAACAACGCTAAATTCGAAAACTCTCCCGAGGAAATAGGCGATTCCGTAGCTATGCGCGGAGCTGCTTTGTCCAGACGGAATACACGAAATTCTAAATTCAGGGGGACGATTCCCATGCGCGCGTACCTCCAGATCCCACGCCCGAACAATGGTCTTCTGACCTCACGCCGGTGTCTTTAGCCACGAGCAAGCCCCGCTCCGAGAACGGGCCCGGCTCCCGATTAAGTAAGATTAAGATTATAGTTAAGAATGGAAAGAAGAGGGACTCAAATCGTAGAAGCATGAATCGTCGAAACAGTCGCGGGCGCCTTCCTCTGCTTCGGCCCAGACTTTGCAGGGATATGTCCGTTTCTTACAAACAAAATAATCCGAAGTTAATCGTTGGTGCAAAATATATTGGTTTTTTCTCCGGAAAATGTGCTGCCCAGGCCATGGTGTTTTGGGCTGCCACTCCGAGTAAATCGACCAGGAAATAAATCCCATTGAATTCAGTGGGAGGTAGTTCTGAGGAAACTATGTTTTGGGGAAGAGTTTTGCAGTTGTATCCGATGGATTTTTACTTGGAAATCGGACCCACTGAATTCGATGAGTTTTATGCCACAGGATTCAGCCTAGGGCCTTGCTATGGGGCTTTTAGGCTCGCTGTACTCCCAGACCAGTAAGACTCCAATCCCTTGCCAGATGGCCGCAGCTCTTAGAGTGAGTGTGTGCTTAACTAAAAGCACTCTATAGTGAGTGTGTGCTTAACTAAAAGTGACCCGCACACACACCTTCACGAGACTTATTTCCGAGTAAATATGTATAAGATTGAGCCTGGTGACCACTAAACCCTACTGCCCTGTTAGTCCTAACATCAGTCCTAAATCGGTCATCTAATGAATACTTCTGCGAGACTAAGCGTCAGTCAGACTTACTCCTGAGTATTGGCCTATCCGCCTAGGATCTGCGGCGGCAAGCAAGCAAGCGAGTGAGGAGCCCTGGCCACCCCTCCCCGCTAAACTCTTTCTTCGGAGAGCAAACAGACGTGCCATCGGATCGCTTCCTTTTGCTAAAGATCCCGAGCAAATTTCAAGTCCGGCTCGTCTTCCCTCTGGCCAAGGGCGCGGAGGGCTACCCAAAGCGAAGTATAGCCGGTATCTTCTTACGAAAATCTCGCTGACAAATGAGACCCGGAACGGTCCTAAACACGGTCCGGTCACGGACATGTCCAACCGCTGCAGTTCGAATGGTCAAGGTGAGCGTGTATCGGTCTGTATAAATGGCAAATTTAACCTTCACTCCTTCGGGGAGCCCGATCCCACCCCCTTTCCTTCGGACAATTATCTGCCTTGAAGGTCTCCCTCAATCCCACCATTTCCGATAACAGAGTGAAGGATCGGGCTTTAATTCGTAAACTGCACGCCACGTCCCGCGCTTGCCCGAGAGCTTCCTTTCCTAGTTTCTCTCCAGGCCAAACATAAAGAATAAAAAATTAAACCAGTAAGTGTACTTTTCAGGTCAATGCAACCTGCTTCTCGCTTCCCCAAATCCATCCGAGGCGGCGGGGGAGGGGGTCTTCTGGAGGGGAAGGAAAAACTTCCCGATAGTTTTACATTTTTGACCCGAATTTGGCTCCCTTTAGAGGGGACTGGCTGCACCTCGTTTAGGTGAAGAGACCGCTCGAAACTTGCTGAACCTAAAAAGATGGTCCGCCCTTCAGGTCCTCAAGCGTCGCGGGCGAGGGAGACGGGCTGGGTCTTAAAGAAAGTGGTACCCCGACCCTAGAACACTTTGCCCGCTGTTCCTGATTGTTGTGGAGCTCACTTCCAAGGAAGCTCAGGGACCAAAAGATCCAGTTGCTTCTCTCTCCAAAACAAAACAAAACAAAACGGGGGAAAAGAAAAGATCTGCGCATTTCTGGCAGCCGCTGGAACAAGCGAAACTTCTTTGGCTTCTCCGGATTCTCAAGTCGCCTCATCGTTATCTCCCTCCCTCTTCCACCGAGCTGGACACCCCCGGTCCTCACGTAGGTGATCTGTGACCCGAATCTTCTAGACAAAATGGATCACAACACGAACAGTCCTCCAAGTTGTCGCATTCCCGGGAATTGCGTCTCTTCCCACCCATCAACCGCCTTTTCAAGTTTAATTGGTGGTTGGAATTTAGCAAGTGTTTCTTGGTCGGTGATCGCGAAGATGGAGATCAAAATAGTCGAGAGCGGGGGGGGGCGCGGGGGGGGGACGGGACACACAGCCCGGGTCATGCGGCAGATCTGGGCAGTCAAAATGCTAGCAAAATGTGCATTTTCTACAGGTCTTCGTCCGAGTTAAGTGCATATAGCATTGCAGCCTGAGTTTATTCTATGCAATTAGATAAATGCAAATAATACTTTTCTGTAAGACGCAAAATATAAATAAGATACTGAAAGGAGCAGAGCCGGTTGGAGGAGCTGCCTTAGGCAGCACCCTCAAAACAAAAACGGAGGCCAGCCAGGGCAGGATTTTTCTGCGAACGTGGATTCTGGTGGGTGCGTTGTTGCCTGGCTTTTTCTCCCCGTTGGGGCTGCCTAGCCCTGTTCTTTGCAAGCATCTCCCAAGGTGTGAGCACCGTTTTGTGTTCGCTTAATAAGGCGGCAGAGAAGTTCTGTCTTGGCGCAAAGGCACAGGAAAGATTTGTTGTGGCAGAAGTTTGTGGGCAGGAGTCCTTTAATCAGATGCTTGAACGTATTGGCAGAAACAGATTGCAAACAGTCGAACTAAAAGACCATAAAATTCAGTAGGTACAGTCCCCCGGTTTGCTTGCTTTCTCTCTCTGTTCGCATCTGTCAGCGAAGGGCAGGGAGCGATGGAGTGGATTCTGGTCCATGCAATCTTCTGCCACAAGAAAGCCGCAAACCTCATGTACTTTCTAGGGTGTAAGTACGCGAAACATGATGGGATTACTTCCAAGTAAGCACACACAGGATGAATCTGTTAGGTTTTAAGTTTTCAGAAGACTCTGAGTGTGTGTTTATTGAAGGAAACCACAAGCCCAGTTTTACCTAGTTTAACTCGGAAGTAAGAGGGCATTTCCGCTGCTGTTTACTGGGAAATAAGAGCCACTGGGGCTCAGTGCTGCACAGTCCCTGCCAAGTGTGCGCGGAATAGCATTCTAAGTTACACGGATTTCAGTACTGCTTATTTCCACGTGAGTGTTTGATTGCATCCCAAGGTCACCGGGACTCTATTGCACCCTGATTTGGAAGTAAGTCTCACTGGATTCAGTGGAACCTGCCTCCAAACAAGGAGGGAGAGAATCGCATAGCTGCTTCCGACGGCTTTGCTGAGTTCACTCAGCCAACTTCTCTCTCTCTCTGTCTCTCTCTGTCTCTCTCTCTCTCTGCCTTCCTTTCCTTTCCTTTCTCTTCACTCCACAGCGGTGTGGCTTTGTCCAGAGCCCACTTCGAGAAGCAGCCGCCCTCCAATTTGAGGAAATCCAATTTCTTTCACTTTGTCCTGGCTCTGTACGACAGACAAGGGCAGCCCGTCGAAATTGAACGGACGGCGTTCGTGGACTTTGTGGAAAACGACAAAGTAAGACTCTGATCTGGGTTGACTTGCCTCACTCCCCGCCGCTCGACACTTCCCTGAACCAGCTCTCGCTCCATCCCTTGTTTATTCTTTGCCTCCTTCCGCCGGGTTCACCTGCTCAGGCCCTTGGACAAAACACGTAAAAATATACAACAGGACCGAAACATCTAAGAACAACTGAAGTTTACAGACTCAGTCACACTCTAGAAAAGCTGGCCTTTACAAAACAAACTCTTGTCTGTTTCTGAGAACTTTGGTTCCCCTGCAACCATGAATGCAGCATTTGACCTCAACATGCATAACTCTCCCTGCAGCCCCAAACTGCTAGGAAATTCTCCTGGTCAGAACTTTGCAAGATCAGCTTCCACTTCTGGATCTGCACAGGAGCCTTTCCCTGCATTCAGCGAGCCTGGCCATTTTTGGGGGGCTGTCAGAAGCTTCTCTCATCCATTCCACTCCCCTGCACAGTTCCAGCATGACCCAGGCACAGTAGCAACCCCTAAATTTTGATTGCTAATAAGGGGTTCCATGGAGTTTAATACCATGTAAATGACTTTAGGACTGCAATATTCATTGGACTCCTAACAGGGCTGGGAAGTGTTCAGCTGCCTGGCAGAGTCGATGTGGGATGGGGAAGGGGGACAGAGAAGAAAACAACCCGGGGAGAAATTGAATAGGAATACACATTTACATCTAAAATCGCCAAAGAGGTTGCTTTTGTTGCTGTGGAGCCTGTGAACCTTTTAATTGTACTCACTGAGCTAATTCTGTTATTAACTGATGAGGCCCTCTTTGTTCCAGCAGATAACTGCCATAATTTTAAACAAATTATGTGTGGCTACCTGCCTTTCTTTTTCTGGTATTTTCAGGTCAAGGACTGGAAACACCGTTTCCTTCCTTTTTTAGACTGAAATTATCCTCCTTCTGAAATAGATGTCTTCGAAGACATCTTGGTTAACTGTGAAGTTTTAGGAAAATACCTAAATTCTCTGAATGAGTTGTATGGTGTAAGGTAATCCTCCTCCCGCAACGCAATTATTTTACCAAAACTAAACAGCTGGTGGAACAAATCATTTGTAGAATTTGTTCATGAAACTAACCTGCTCATAATTTAAGGGAAATTTAAGTAGGGCAATTTAAGAATCACAGTGCAATCCAATACCTTTCTACCAAGGAGCAAATGCTATTAGTTGAATGGGTGGTACTCCCAGGTAAGTGGGTGTAGGATTGCATTCTAAGGACCATTAGGAACTGGAATTGGAGTAGCTGGAGACTTTTGTCCAATTATCCAGAGGACAAAGACTCAGGATCAAGTCTTCCCTCTTGTCCGGTCCCTGTACACAGGCCCCCATCCCTAACACTTCAACCCTATGCTCTCTTACTTGGCAGTTGAACGCTGAGTGGGCATGTGTGGAATCCTGTGTGTTTATGCTGGCAATTGCAGGAAGGTTTCCCTTTTCCTGCCTAAACATGCATAGGGTCGTACCCCTAATTTTTCAGTGGCCCCAGTGACTGATGAATCAAACCTGCTTGAGTATTGTCAGGAACCCTCCTTTGGGACAACTTTTTCTCTCCCTCCCAACAGGAACAAGGCAATGAAAAAACCAACAATGGGACCCACTACAAATTGCAGCTTCTGTATAGTAATGGTAAGTAACCTCAAGCAAAGGATGCAGAAAGAGTAGTCTAAGCACCAGGAAATTTGTAGACTGAAGTGATAATGTCTGAATGAGTCTTAAATCGGACAATATCTGTTCTTCCTCTCCTGCATCCAGAAGTGAAACCTGCTTATTCATGGCATACATTCTCAACAGGTGCAACAAGGGGTTGTTCTGGCATTTATAACCCTCTTGTGAAGACCTCAGGGCAGCTTACGTAGCTAATACTCCATTTTATCCTCACAGCAACAATCCTGTTTGGTCGGTTAGGCTGGGAGCATGTGACTCGACCAAAGTTACTCAGGAGCTTCATGGCCGATCTGGAACCCAGATCTCCCATGTCCCCAGTTCAACCTTCTAGCCACCAGTCCACACTGGTAATGTCTTCAGGAACCTCTCAAAGCTCCTCAGTTGGGGAAGGCAACCAACATGGGGCAAATAAGAGACGCCTTTGTGGACGTGTGTACATGGTCTATGTATGGTAGGGGGCACAGTAGACCTCAAGGTGCCTTTCAGATCCACCTACCAGCCTTTGCCGTCTCCTCAGCCTGATCTTGGTCCTTCTCCTGAGGCCTTCATCACTACTTGCGACAAACCCATTCCAGAACTACTGAAGGGAACCCCATTGTCCCCCATTCCCCAATACCTCCATCTTGCCAGTGGTTGCAACCGCTGGCACTTGGTGTGCTTTGAGTGCCTTCCTGGACTCCCTGTCTGAAGTACGGTGCAATCTTTGTGCCAAAAGAGGAGGACCGGAGCACTGGAGCTACCTGACCATCATTGGCAGGGCTCATGTCTATGTCCGTTTCCTTCCAGAGCTGCTTAGAAGCCAGTTCCTTGGAAAGCAGCTTGTCCCCTTCACATGCTCAGGGGCTTGTTGCTCAGCTGACCGGAGTGGAATATGCAGCATGCATCCTCATGTGGCGTGTGTAAGCATGGCTGCAGGTGGGTGGGTGGGGTGGATGTGAGCAATGGGAAGGATGTGTGGGGAAAACTTAGTGATTGAAGAGCAGAGAGAACTGTGGGGTGGTCGTAAGTGTGAAGAGCAGGTGTATTTGTATGGGGTGTGTGATGGGGGTTGCCACCCCCCCCCCACTTGGAGACACGGCCCTCAGAAGGTTACCCACATAGGAATGCAGTTCCCAGAATGAAATCGTCCCCTGCCCCTTACATACAGCCTCTCCCCACCTCAGAAATTTCCTCGCTATTTTGTGGAGTTGCATTCTTCCCAGTAAAGATATTTTGCTATTTTTTTCTCTTTTGGATTTTAAGTGGTTGCAGTAGCTGGGAAAGGAAAGAACAGCTCCATAAAATGAGAGCAATATTCCTAGCAGTTCCTAGGACAGGGCGTGTGCCACAGCCCAGAGAATGGGGTGGGGAAGCGGTGCCCCCTGCAGGCCAGAAATGTCCTGCAAAGCCTTTCCGACTGGCTTACCAGTTGGAGAGGAAGAGCTGAGGTCCAGCAGTTGGAAGTACGTGTGTCTGTGCGTGAAACCTCCCCTTTCCGTGCTCCCAGACCCCCAAATGACCAGCTGTTTTGGTTCAGGCATGCTGTGCAGTGTGTGTGTGAAGGAGAAACAGAGGGAGTGGGTGGGTGGGTGGACGGGCAGGCGAGCTGGTGCCACGTCTAATGCAAAGGAAGCCAGCAAGAACAGAGAGAGGGGAATAGCAAGGTGTGCGAGTCGGAGCGGGACTGATGCCAAGCGCTCGCCTCAGCACATGTCCATGTGGTATTGGCCCATCCACCTGGTGGATACGGTCCCAGGAAGGGTGTTCCTGGGGGAAGATCACACTGTGCTGGTGGTCAGGGGCTCCCCCACCACAGCTGGAGCCCTGACTCTTGCACTTGGGGCCCCAGATCTCTGAGTGGACACCTGCTGCACCACCTTACTATCCATGGGCACTTGCTGAAATCGATAAAGAATGGGCATGGAGATCCCTGGGCTATCCCATTAGTTGGGTTTTGCTGCCTCCATCCACTCCTTTCTTCCTGAAACTCCAGCGCATTCGTAGGTCCCCTGTTTCGGTGAATGGAACTGTGTCCCAGATCTTTCCACACCAGGCACTGCCCCTGTCTAGTTCCCTAGTTCAACAGATTGGGAACAGATCCTCGGGTGGCAGCAGCATGGGGGAATGTGATATTTATCTTGCTCCCACGGCTTTCTTGATTTTCCCTGCAGGTGTCAGAACTGAACAAGATCTCTTTGTCAGGCTCATTGACTCGGTCACAAAACAGGTAAGAGTGAGCTGATTTCCTATTTCTAGCCATTCTGCTCTTGTTGATCAGTCTGTCTACCTCTCCATTAGTTCTTACTTGAATCAGTATCTACATTTAGAAACCATTTCTAGTGAAGGCCTTTTTGAGCAAAGATTGTATAGCACTATATCTAACTGTCCTTCACATTTTGGATTACAGTAACAGGAGAGGTAACATTTGATTCATTTCCGCCCTTTTAATTCAACTTCCAATGTTTTACAGCCCATCACCTATGAAGGACAGAACAAGAATCCAGAAATGTGCAGAGTTCTGCTAACTCATGAAGTTATGTGCAGGTAGGAGAACGTTCAGTTCTTTACATGTATGAGGTCCACCTCTGGAAAGCGAGCAGAGAATGGTTTCCAGTTGCCTTGAGTTTCATGATGGAAAAAAACCCCTTTCTATATGCATGCATTGTAATAAAATCAGTATAATCTACTGGTATGATGGATCATTTATGCAATCAAAGGAATACAAAGATTGCTTTTTTTAGGTTGAACCCCACAGGGATTTTTCACCCCTGTCTCAAGGACCTTTGCCCCCAAACCCCTTTGCCACTGGGGTCCACTCAAAGTATGAATGCATGGGCAGGGGAAACCTTTGCCCCCAGACCGTGTCTTGAGGGCCACCATTTCTTTGAGATTCTCTGGCCTGAGGTTGGAAAAGAGTTCTGACCTCACCTCTGGGGATCTGCACTCAGATCCCCCTTACCCGACCTGCACTGGGTGCGTCACTGACAGTGCAAGCAAGGCCTTGGAAAGGGGCTTGTGGGGGCATGTCAGGGGGCTGGGGAGCGCAGGAGACCAGCACTGCCAAGAGAGGGCAGCCTCCATCCCTGCCTCTCCAAAATGTTCCAGGAGCAAGATAAAATCTGCCATCCAAGTGTAACACTTTGAAGGGGGAGGGGAGGGGTCTGAGATACCCCCAAGATAACTTTTCACTTGGCAACTCCAGTTTCCTCCCTTGGGAAATCCACTAACTGCTTTGCAGAGCCGAAGGAGTGCAAAGACGTTGTTTGCTTCCATGCTCTTTCTGCCCTGCCCTGCGTCGGATACCCGTAATCTTCCAACTTTGGAGGGCTGTGGGGAATCCCATTGGATTGTGCCCCAAGTGTATGCATTATAACTGTTTTATAAAATGGTAAATGCCAGCATTGCCGTGCCAATTAATTCTTTATCTCCCCCCGCCTTCTAAAAATAGTGCTGTTGCTACTTGTGATTCTTATATGCCAGTGAAATTTAAGATCATTGAAAAGGGGGCACGTCAATTACAGCATATTGGTAAAAAAGAAAGAATAGCCCCACCAGGTCTGAGTGAGTTCAGCAACAGCCAGGAGCTGCCTCCATGGCCTGGCTATTAGCAGAAGGACAGTAACGACGGAGCTCATCTTGCCTCCTTTGGCAACAGACTCCAGAGCTTGGGAGCATCCACTGAGGAGGTTCTCTTTTCCATTCCCACCAAACGTGCGTCTGAAGGTGTCTGGGCAGAGCGAAGAGCTTTTCCTGAGAATGTAGGTCTTCGGTAGGTCAGAACCAGTACTTTGAATCCCATCCAAAAGTAATCTGGTAGCTAGATAAGGAATGACATGCTTCTTGGAACCTGCCCGAGAAGGTAACTACGCAGGCCGGGATAATAGGAACGTTATTGTAATTCTCCCTGGAGGAGGAAGCAGGTGAGAATATGATATGGAGCATCCTCACTCCATAAGGGAACAGCTGGACTGGAGCTGATAAGGTGGGTGGAGGGGTTGAGAATATGAGAAGGAGCTGGAGACTGCCATTCCTAGGCTAAACGAACAGAAGCTTTCTAAATGAACGTCGTGATGCACCCTCGTCCCATTTTAATACAACGGTCTGATCATTACAGCTTAGGAACATATGAAGTTAAATCGTTGCTTCCTCCCTCTCTGCACTGACCTCATCATGAATGGACAAGGTGGAGCATTCCAGATGTTTTAGCCTAGGATTTCCATCAGCTTTAGAGAATATGGCTGATGGTGAGGGAGGCTGGGAGTTCCAGGCCAAAACATGTGGAGGGCTACAGGTTGCCCACATGGACTAGACATGGACTAGAAAAGGCTCTCTAGGAGTCTTCCCCAGCCCTGCCTGGAGATGCCAAGGACATGACAAAGATATCCACAAGAGTGCATGAGAAACCTGATTTCTATTAATCCGGCTGGCAGATTCTGCAGTCTTTTCCCCAGACTTCTAACCCCCTTTAACTCTTGGGGGTTTTGTGCAAGTGCACACTTGCATAAGTGCACACGAGGGTTTTGTGTGCCCTTGCACAAGAGGAATGATTTATTTTTGTATATTCCTTAGGAAAAAAATCAGATTCTACCAATGAGTAGACAGCAGATTGAAAGATGCCTGATGACTGGCAAAACACAGCCCGGATTGATTCAACAAAATGCACACATCCTTAGATGGAGTTGGACTTGAGCTCTGTCCTTCCATGGAAAGAGGCTTATGCAGGAAAACAGTGATGTGTTGACACCCAAGTTCTGCATTATTCAGGACCATATCAGTCTGAAACTTAGACAGAAGAAAGTGCCCTAGAGAGCAAAATAAAGAATACAGTATTTAAATATTTTCCTAAAAATCAAGACGATTGCTCTTCTGTGTTAGCACACACAAGCATATGAAGCTGCAATTTTATACCTGCCAGGCAGGGGCACCTGTGGCCCTCTAGATGTTGTTGGACTACAGTTCCCATCTTCCACGGCCATTGGCCAGATGGGAGTGTTCAATAAAATCTGGAGGAGGTCACAAGTGGTGGTCGAGGTTTAACTTTGCAGAAGGGACATCTAAGAGTGAGTGCTGTCTTGCACGCCATGTGCACACTTAAATATATGTGATGCACATTTTTCCACTGTTTTCCTTATAACATCGATATACTTATGGCGGTTTACAGAGTAGAAGAGAAGAGGGCATTTTTCCCATGAAATATCTTCTCCTTCTCTCTCTCTCTCTCTTTCTCTCTCTCTCTCTGTGTGTGTGTGTGTTCGTTCAGTCATTCATTCAAAACAAGGGAGGTATGCTTAATTTTGGCAGGGCTGTTTCCCTTCTATGTAAGTCTAACTTGCTTAGAGATAGATTTAAATCCAGTCAGTGCTACATGAATCTAGGCGACGTCCTTCACAGTCCTCACTTGGGGTTTTAATGGTACTAGGCTCAGGTACCCTAGGCATCAGGCTGTGGTTGGTGTATTTTTAAAGCAGTGTACAGATTAAAAACTGCATAGCCCTTCATTCCTACCTACAGAACATGTTTGACACAACTGAGTCACAATGAAGTACTTTAATTCCTTTTGAGGGGAAAGTTTAAAAAGCTTTAAATCTCCCCTACTAAAATAAATGGGACGTGAAGGCAAGGATCTTTTGATCCAGAAATGCTTAACACAAGAGTTAATGTTATCTGCTAAAAATGGGAGCAGAACTTGAAATTAACATGATGCTAGGGTTCACTGTTAAGCTGCTAAAGTTTATTGTTAATTGTGCCTGCAATTCCTGGGACAAACTCATCCATAGTGTCTGAGCTTGAAAGGAAAACAGCAATTGTAGGGAATCAATATGTATTCCCATTGAACAAATGAATTTCTTACCTTCATAAAAAGGATTTAATTTTTGCTTTTAACGGTTTAGATGTGTTTAGAACTTGCAGAGATAAACAGGAATGTCCTTCCTGACCCAGAAGCAGGCATGTACATGTGTGTAGATACAGTGGAATTTACCCCTTTAGAAAGGATCACACAGATTGAAGTCAGTATTTTTCCAAAACTGACAAATTTTCTCTCTCCCTGCATAATTATACCTTGGCTTATGATGATGCCAAAATATCCCATGCTTAAATTAAAGCATGCTGAGAATTTGACTCTCCTGGTTTTTTTAAACATTATTTTGTTAGCTTGCAATTTCCTTGCTTGATTCGGTAAAGAAGAACAAGAATTCTCTGATGTCCTTTCTGTGTATACCCTGATCTCTGACACACGTTAAAAGTTTTGGCTCAAATTCCAATTAAATTCTGTGAATGAAAGTGTAGGCATTCTTTAAAAAAAAGACATATTGAATTTTTAAATATGCTGCTTAATTTATTTAATAAAGGGGTTGGGGTTAGGGTTAGTGCACAAGTTGTTCAGAACAGGACTGGATAAAATCTATGCAAGTCCAGCTAATCTTGACATTTTTATTTTAAGCAGAACAATCAGTTCTCGCAGTGGACTGTTGCTTAAGGAGCAGCCTCAATTTTTAAGACTTCTTCTTTAGCCTGCATTAGTAACAGTATATCAAAATTTAATGTACTGTACTAGCCTTGCTGTTCAAGTGGATGCCCATTGTCTTTGAGTGACAGGCCTTGCTTTTTCATCCTTAGTCAGAAGATAAACATCTTTCTGATTTGTCATATGGAACTGCACGACTATTCAGTTGAAATGCAGACAAGTGTAACCGGCAGCCGTACGTCTTTCTCCGAGTGACAGATGCGCGCTTAGCAGGAATGTTATCTAAATATTTATGCAGATGCAGTGATGTGTCACTGGTAGAAGTAGGGAAATCTCTGTTTCACAACCCTCCCGTGTTCTTGTTTAGTATCTTCAGGGTGGAGCCGAACTGTTGGCGTCAGCTGGCTGCATGTGCATACCTTAAAAATTTTCGCATGTTCTGCGAAGTTTTATTTGTTTTGGTGGAACTTACGGCCACGGGAAAACGGATTCAGCATGGGGCAGAGGGGACATGCGCTTCGCCAGCCATGGATTCTATGCGTTGAACAGAAACGGATGCAAAATCTTTGTTCCTATGATGAATTCTATAACTAAATAAGACAATCGATAAATGAATATGGTAACCCCTCTCCTGGAATAATCCCCCTCACTCCCACAGCCTTGCCAACTATTTGCGAAGAGGAAAACTGTTTTGTTCTGCGGTTGCCAGAAGTCCCTGCACCCTTGCTGCTCGGAGGGGGGGTGGAAAGGTATTATAATGTGAACAGAAGTAGTCTCGGGGGCTACAGCTGGCTAATAACAGAGTTGCATTGAGCGCCAATGAGACCCACAGCTGTGACTTTTGCCACAAGGCCCAGACTAGACAGCAGCAGACAGAAGCAGCTGAGGCAGCAGGCCACTGAGCCTACGTGTCTTTATCGGCCAGATGGTGTGAGTTTAGACACTTTTGTTATGCAATGCCAGGGAGGAGTCGGGGAGAAGAAAACAAAACAAAAGGCCACCATGCTGAGTGCTTATTTGAGTTTGAAATTAGAGACAGATTTCTTTCTGTCTTTCTTTTTTTGGTGAAAGTTGAGGGCTGAATTTTAAAATCATTTTAGAAAGGGGGAGGTGAAGGACATAAGCTGTTGTTTGAAATGTGCCTCCTTCTGGGGCATCCCGTTTCTCCGAGGCACCGTTCAGCCAGAGCTGTGTGCATCTGCGGCTTCCTAGTAACCATCCATCTGCCAAAGCAAGTGGATAGTATTCGGCTGGTAAGTTAAAATGATTGTGTAAGTGGCAGGTGCAGGGTGTTCTGATCTGGACTGGGACCTCGGTGGGAAGGGTTGCTCTGTTCCCCCGATTCAGTCCTGGTTTGGGTCAGCCCCACGTCAGCTGCTGCTGCTGCTTGCCTCTGGAGGGAGGCCCCGTCGGAGCCCGTCAGGGCTAGTCTCAAGGGTAGGAATGGCCAGGCACATGCTGAGGCCTCACAGCCCAGGAGGGGGCCACTGGTAGTCACACCTCCTCTTCAGCAGGACAGCATGCATGTTGTGATGGCCCAGAAAGGGCTGCTGAGGAGGAGTGGGAGATGCGGGGTCTTCTTGGCCCCGTGGCCTCTGAAAACAATGGGGGGGATGATGAGGAAGAGGAGGAGGAGCAAGAGCAGCTGGGGACCAGGGTGGAGAGGAGGCAGACATGCTAGGGAGAGCCCCCAGGGCCCTGACAAGCCAGAACCAGCACTGGGCAGCCTCCATCTCTGAGACCAGGAAACATCTGTAACGTGAGGATAGCTGTATGTAATGCATGTTGGCGAGGCTAAGCCAAGATGTTTTACCAGGTTAAGAGTGCAGTTGATGAGCTGTGCCCGTGATGCTCATCAGCCCTGAACATGCAGACTTATGAGCACCCATGAAGAATAGTGAAGGCTATTTCTAGATACTGCCAGATAGCCCTTCTCCCACTCTGCACTCTCTCCCCTTTCCTGGAATGCTCCCTGTAAGCCTTCTCTGAAGTAAGGATATGTGAAGAGTATGTTCGAGGGTGGGAATCCAGTGAATTCCAGCTCCCCGGACTCTGTTCTGCTTTCCCATGGGGCATGAGTCCAAGTTCCTGGTGAGCACACCTCGCATTTACATGGTGCTTGCCAGGACACCAACACTGCACAATCGCTATGCAAATGGCATCCCCTTCCACATCACATGTACGGCCTTTCTTTGTGCTGCGGAAGAAGGTTGCTGGTTGTGCAAGCCTCATGCCATGAACGTTTGTGGACTTCATCTAGGCTCAGCTCACTTTCTAAGACTGAGCTGAGCAGGAGGAAAGTCTGCAAATACTAGAGGGACAAATTCCATTGACGCTTCATCACAACACTAGGCTGAGGTGGAGTGCTTGACCTCAAAGGAGCACTTGACAGTTCTTTGCATCCTGGTTGCAAGGGGAGTTGAGCAGTGGGATGAAAGTGTGGATTCCCAGCTCTGAGGCAGGAGCTTCATTTCCGACACTGGATCTGGGAACCTGAAACAACTTAGGATCCCTAGAAACCATCTGGAGAGTCATAGGATACTTTCTAAGTGGTTATACTCTTACAATGCATGGATCTCACCATGTACCCCCAGTTCACCAAGGTCTATAGGACTTCAGCTAGAACTTTATGGTATGGCACATGCAAGGACACTGCTGATAACATGAACCCCAGTCCCCTCCTGTCTTCCGCGCTATGATGTGGCAATTCAGCATGCATGACACAATGTTATTCTGCAAGCAGACAATGGAGGAGGACCAGGCCGAGCCTGACTTCAGGAGCATTGTGACTAGATTTCTCTTCCTTAAGCCCCACCACTAGAGAGTGAGGGGCTCAATTTGGATCAGGGCTTTGATGCTGGGTGAGAGACTTCAACCTCTCTCTCTGCTATTTGCCTTGAAGGGATGATATGACGTACCATGAAAACCATAGAGATCCAAAGGGAAAACAGTATGGGGGAGAGGACTACAAACATACATGCCCAACTGAAGCGGTTTGCCAGTTCCCTCTTCTTCAGGGGTGTCACCTCTGATGGGTGTTACATTCCAGAAAGATGGAAAGAGATCCCCAGCCAGCAAAAAAGTATTTCATTTCTAGCCCCTGCCGATGAAAAATCAGTTGGCAATGCTTATACAAAGCAATTTGTGACAAAGGATAAGTGGTAATGGTAGGGCAGAAAGAATCCCTCATCTATAGGGTAGCCAGGTGTCCCCCCTTTTGGGGGACAGTCCTCTGCTTGAAGGGCTCTCAAAGACAGCAAAGGTGCCACCTGTTTGAAGGGCATTCTGCTCCAAGTCTGCTTCAAAGGTAATGAACCCCTAACATCCAGTTGAATTCTACATTGAACCAGGGATCCTAACTGTTCTGCTGTTGCTATGTATACCTGTCTCTCCACTCCATCTTCCTTGGCTTGGTTTCACTGGTGTGACCCATCTTAGTCTACAGCACAGCTCATGTGTGGGTCCTAGCCAAAATGGTGCAGGCAGAAAAGGAATTGTCCTGGCCCTTTAAGGCAGGAGTGGCAAACCTTAGGCCCATGGTTCCACTTTGACCCTATAGGTTTTTTTCCCAGAAGGCCACACCTCATTCCCTAGCCCCATCCTTTCCACCCCTTCTGACTTAAGACTGACTTACTGGCAGTCACACATTTAAGCTAAGCTACTCTGGTATTTTGGCCTCTGCTCCCTTCGGTTTCAGACATAAATTTTTTCCTTCTTACATTTTTTCCTACATGCCCCAAGAGCTTCTCTGAAATGGAATTTGGCCCTTGAATGGAAAGAATCCCTCATCTATTGGGTAGCCAGGTGTCCCCCCTTTTAGGGGACAGTCCTCTGCTTGAAGGGCTCTCAAAGACAGCAAAGGTGCC